GGGCCTAGGAGGCCAGAGGGTACAGAGAGTGGGGGGAGGGTGTTGTTGGAGAGGGTCAGAGGATGTGATGGGGCTCACATTGCACTCTGTACAGGATACAGCCGTCCTTCTCCCTCTCTGATCTTCGGAGACTCAGTCGGATTTATTTGGGAATTTCTTCCACGCAGATAATTGGAATTTTGGGGAAATATTCGGATTTGTTACAATTTTGATAAAAAATAAACACATTCTATGTAAATGTCGTATTCTATATATAAAGAGGATTCGGATCGAAAGCAATATGCATTAGATGTGAAAGGACTGCATGTCTCCTCTATATGCTGTAGCATCGTACAATGTGTCCTCTGCGCCTCCTAGAAGGAATCGGATTCTCGATAATAGATTGTAAGCTCCTGAGCCGACTCCTTTCTGCTGACTGAGACGTTAGACGCTGATGGCTGAGATGTAACTCTTCCTCCTCGTCACCGATGCAGCGTGTAACACGGGAGTCACTCTGCCCCGGTTGGGTGTTGTAGTCGAAAGTAGTATTATTCATTTATATAGCGCCGTCATTGTCTGTGGCGCTGTACAAGGGAAGCGCTGTGCTGATTTGTGATGCCGTTCGGATCTCTCGATATAATTTTTGAGACACATTTTGTGTCTGTTTCTGAAGTCGGTTTTGCGGCGGAAGACATTGTTTTGTGTTTTGTAGTTGAAAAGTTATTTATGTTTTTTCTTTGTTTTTGTTTGTTGATGGAAAATATTTAATAATAAAAATGATCCGATTTAAAAAAAAAAAAGAAGTCGGCTTTGTGCCGGAAGAAGTTGCCGCGTGAATAGCGTTAAGCGGCGTCCTCATCCGGCGCTCTCGGGGTTCAGAATCTGATTGGCTGTGTGCAGACAGAGTCTCTGTGTGTACGGGAGGGGACGGCGGGGACATCGCCGCCATTTGGGTACTTTGCCGCCATCGAGCGTTCCAAATCTCTTCCACCAGACGCACAATAATCCGTATTTGTACGCCGGGAATCCCCAGCGTGTGAGATCAGAGAGCCGCTGTCGTCCCTGTGATTGAGCGCCGTGTGGAGGAAGATCTGAAGATCAATCTGTACTCTGCAGCAGATCAATGTTCTCTCCGTCATTGATCCCCACCTTTCCCGCCTGAGGTGCCGCCGCTGGACCCGTCTGCTGATTTGGTGTCGGGAAGTCTCGTGTTTCAGGTTACTGTGACTTGTCGGAGATCGTTCACATTGTCAGTGATTTGCGCGCTACGCGGCCGGAGTCGGGAGGCACGGCGTCTTTAGATCTCTATAACACGGCGATGCGTTCCCTGCAGACTGCGCACTCACCGCGGCGTCCGTAATGAAATGATTATCGATTCTGCAATAAAGAGAGGCGGAGGAGAGCCGAGGATCATAAAATCCGCCATAATGGGAGAATTTTATCAATAAGACGCCATCAGCGGGATAGAGATGTGCGCACAGCGATAAACCTGCGCCCCCCACACACTGATCCCTGAGGGGGAGACCCTCCCATCCTCCATCCTTGTATCTGATCTGTAATTTGTCATTTCTGTCCCCGAATGTTCTGCTCTGGATTTAGTTTAATTATTCACCATCGTGAGAGTTTCCTCCTCTGCGTTCTGTGCTGGGGCAGATGTGGAGGTCATAGTCTCTCCAAGTGCTGATCACTGACACACCTACAGTAGATTGTCCGGGGCAACTAGAAGTCCTAAAGGGGCACTCCAGCTAAGAATTTGAGAGCAGTGGAAGTTACCCCCCAGGGCCTGCCATCTATGGGAGCATGGAACACTGGATGGAAGTTACCCCCCCGGGCCCGCCATCTATTGGATCACAGAACACTGGATGGAAGTTACCCTCCCCGCGACCGCCATCTATTGGATCACAGAACACTGGGTGGAATATTCTGCAATAAAGAGAGGCGGAGGAGAGCCGAGGATCATAAAATCCGCCATAATGGGAGAATTTTATCAATAAGACGCCATCAGCGGGATAGAGATGTGCGCACAGCGATAAACCTGCGCCCCCCACACACTGATCCCTGAGGGGGAGACCCTCCCATCCTCCATCCTTGTATCTGATCTGTAATTTGTCATTTCTGTCCCCGAATGTTCTGCTCTGGATTTAGTTTAATTATTCACCATCGTGAGAGTTTCCTCCTCTGCGTTCTGTGCTGGGGCAGATGTGGAGGTCATAGTCTCTCCAAGTGCTGATCACTGACACACCTACAGTAGATTGTCCGGGGCAACTAGAAGTCCTAAAGGGGCACTCCAGCTAAGAATTTGAGAGCAGTGGAAGTTACCCCCCAGGGCCTGCCATCTATGGGAGCATGGAACACTGGATGGAAGTTACCCCCCCGGGCCCGCCATCTATTGGATCACAGAACACTGGATGGAAGTTACCCTCCCCGCGACCGCCATCTATTGGATCACAGAACACTGGGTGGAAGTTACCCCCCCGGGCCCGCCATCTATTGGATCACAGAACACCGGATGGAAGTTACCCCCCCGGGCCCGTCATCTATGGGAGCATGGAACACTGGATTAAAATTACCCCCCAGGGCCCGCCGTCCATGAGAACAGAGAGCGCTCGATGGAAGTTACCCCCCAGGGCCCGCCGACCAGAGAGCCCTCTAAGTGGTGTCATTGGAATGTATTAATCATTGGCCGGTCTGAGCAAAATATTTCACTGTGCGCTCTTCTGGGAAGAATATTGATCCCGCGTCAGCCTTCCTGATCCTTGTAATGTTTGTTGTTTGCCGTAAATCATTCCACCTCCTTACGCTGCCCCCAGGACGGCCCGACAGACGCTGAGCGCGCTTTATGAAACCCGGAGGAATTCTACTTCTGTACATAATTGTCCGATCATTTCCCCTTCCTATAGACAGCGGATATCAGGAGGGAGAGATCCACCACCGACCATCAATGTATCTATAGTGTGATCCAATCAATGTATCTATAGTGAGATCCAATCAATGTATCTATAGTGAAATCCAATCAATATATCTATAGTGTGAGATCCGATCAATGTATCTATAGTGAGATCCAATCAATGTATCTATAGTGTGAGATCCAATCAATGTATCTATAGTGAGAGATCCGATCAATATATCTATAGTGAGATCCAATCAATATATCTATAGTGACATCCAATCAATGTATCTATAGTGTGAGATCCAATCAATGTATCGGGCCCCCTCCGAGTCACGGGCCCCCCCATACTGGGACTCCCTCATAAAGCCGGGTATACACGATTTGAACTTTGGCTGGTGCTGCTGTTGGCTCCTTTCTGACCAGCATCCCCCGATCAGCAGATAGACGGACCATGACGGAAAACTGTCTGCAGAACACGGCTATCAACCGATGATCTGCCGGCTCTGTTCGGGAATTCGATCCATGATTGCTGATTGGAGGAATGTGTTCTGTTCTCTTCCCTCAGCCGGCAGGAGGAATGAAGATGATAGAAGCGGGTGTTTCTGGATGTATAGAAGGGTTTCCTGCTCCGAATTTCCCCTCATAACCCCCAAATACAGTTATGTCATTAAAAACCATTTTCAGCTCCTCTCCGGCCCACCTCTGTCTCTCCATCACAACTGTGCAGAGGGCCCCAACTCCCGGGGTGTGCGGGTCTGGACTGTACATTGGGATGTCGGCACATTCCTCCATAGACTCCATGTTTTATCAGGTGTTTCTTTTATCTTATAATCTGCTTGTTATCAAAAAATCTTCCCTTTATTATCATCATCGCAGCTTATTGATGGAGGGAATGCTTGTATGAGGCCAGCTGTGACAGGTTCTCTTTAAAGGGATTCCGATTTCCGTTTTCAGTGTATTTTTGTTTTCCTCCATTTTTGATGTTCATTTCCCCTGCGGAGTGACAGAGCGGCTCCGGGTTCAGCATTCTCTCTGTACATAGAATGATATAAAACAGTGGCGGTGCCCCCCTTTACTATGTTGTGGCAGCAACAAGCGGGCGAACGTCCGATGCAGTGCGGCATGCTAGAGCAGCCAGTGCACTGCTA